CACACACACACACACACACACACACACACACACACACACACACACGCACACACACACACACACACAGAGGGCAATTTTTTTACTTCTTTTTTCCACGCGTATCCTACCACGTGTCCGAGGCCCATTGGGCTTGACCCGTTGATCGGATTTCAACGGGAAACCCCCGTTGTACCGTTCAACAGGGATTCAACTCGGACCCCGGGGGTGTACAACGGGTACAACGGAGTTGTACAAAACTCGTTGCGAGTTGAATGGATACACAGGCCAGAAGAAAAAGACGATGGAACCGCAGCAGAGGGATCGCGGAGAAGAAGAAGAAGAAGAATTGAATGGCCAGCTTCCTTCGGCTCCCGTCCCGGTCTTCCATTCGTCTACATCAAGATCTCGGCGTTCGGGCTTCGTCCCTGGTCGTTCTCTCACCGACCCCGTGACTACCTCATGCTTACCCGTCTTCCCGATAGACCCCCGTTCCCCGATGGTTGGTGTCCTTTCCCCCATCACCTTTTCTACCATCTCTACGCTACCCGCCTTCTAGTCTCTGTTTATCCGCATGCCACCACCCGCTCTGTGGTTGATTCCTTTCTCCTTCATGTGCTCCTGTTTAGCGCAGACTGGCGGGAATATAACCACGTAGAAATATACTGTATTATATCTGGAACTATTCCCGCCTGCGAAAACTACGAAGATTTTCGCGCCGCCCTGCGACGGACCCTTTCTACCCTCTACCCCGACTACATCGCCGCTTTTCACCATCTTCATGAGGTCCCTCACTTCCCCCGTATCCATCGCTCCTTCCACTACGCTACCCTTCCTGATTTCGCCTATCCCGCCATCAATCGATTCATGCCCCCTCTCCCCCTGAACCATCCGCCACCTCCACCCTCGATGATTCGACTGCCATTCCCCGAGAATGTCTAGAGTCTACCCTCTTTTTTTACGAATGCATGGTTGGCTGCCACGTGGCAGTCTACGACGGGTGTGACCCCCCCCCCCTCCTTGGATTGTCAATAGCCCTTCTTGAGGAAATAGTAGTAGAGCTTGCATGACACGTTGGAAGACGTCCACACTCAATTGAAAGGTAACTCGCATATAAAGAAGAGCTCCGCGTGTCGGTCGATTAGAGAAATCGACACGTGTCAACAAGCAAGCAAGAAGAGCTCCACGTGTCGCGCGCGACTTTCTGCGCAGCTACGTTGAGGGGTCCTAAGTTGAAAAGGTTGGGCCAATTACGGGAGATCGGGATCGGTGGGAAATTGCATCAATGTCCTTGCTTTTTTGTCTTTTTCGTCGCTTCTTTTTCGAATGGCTGGGTTCGGAGCCGGGTGTGTCCTAGGACGGCCGGTTGATTGATTGGTTGACCGAATGGCTGGCGCGCCGCCGTGCGCGCGACTAATAAATGTTGACGTCGTTTCTTTTGTTTCGGTTTCGATCTTTTGGGTTGCTTCGTTCTTTTTGAATTTTTCTTTTAAATCTTTTTCGAATTTTGTCGAGCCCCGATGGCTCTCGGAATTTCGGACTTTTCTTCTGGAATTTGTGCTTTTTGCTTCTTCGCGTTAGATAGGAATTTAGAAATTTAGAAATTTAGGAATTTCGTAATTAGGATTTTTCTTGCCGCGCGGCGCTTTTTGTCTACGCGCTTCTTCATGCGGCTGCAACGGAACTCTGATTAGTAGGCACCTTTAATCGTGTGTGTAACTGTAATTTTGGGCGGGCGCTATTGTAGTTGTATCTTTCTTCTTGTGCTTCGCCTTTCCCGCCCTTCTTCTCTTTTTTTCGATGCATTTTTGGTAGTCGTGGTCTGGATGATCGGATCGATGCGTGGAGAATGGCTACGTCCCCCGCACCGCGATCAGACCATGCAGATGTAGGCAATCCCTCCCCCTTCCCTTCTTCTAGGTCCTTGTAATTCCGTGTTCTTTGCGCATGCATGCACGCTATAAATTTCGGTTGCGCGATTAGTTAACTCTCTTAACCAGCTGTTGGAAGCTCGGGGTTGCGCAATCAGAGAGGGTCGGCACACGAGCGAAGTAAGAGGTGAGTAGAGCAGGAGTTGGGCGACCTGACTGGCTGGTGCAAAACGCGCGGGGTTGACGCGTGCCACGACGGACTGTGGGCGTGGGCGAACCTGATGGGTGCGGGAGGACTAAGAGGGGTGACGACTTCGTGGGTTGGTGCGCGACGACGGACTGTCCGGATCGGAGAAGAGAGAGAGAGGAGGAGAGAGTTCAGGTTGATGGGATGCGGAGTTGCTGTTTCTTTTTATCTTTTCTCCCTCTTGTCTCGTGTATATAAGTTTTGATTTCGGCTCTGGGCGATTTGCCCGATTCTTGTTCATCGGAATT